GTGGGGTGGGGGGGGGGGGGGGGGAACTGGTAATGTTTCAATGTGAGGTTAAGACCCAATCAGTAAAGGTGACATATATAACTATATTAAAAGAGTAGTTTTACAATCATTACTAGTACATGGTTTTAAAATACAAAAAATACAGGTAGACCTCTAAACAACTTATCTTAGGACCTAATCTAATATTTCTGCATTTATTTTAAGATAAGTGTGACAAAGATGTTGAAAAAGATGTCCTAACTGACCCTGCTGTTAAAATCACCAATAGAAACCCATCACTGGCACTGGACATAGATAAAATTCTAAATGACAATATCCCTGGGTCTAGTGGACAGCCAGGCCCTGTACCCCCCCCCCCTCCCCCCCAACCAGACCATTGTCCAGTTTGGAATGGACTTGAATCTTGCAAGACTATACAGAAGAGATGTGCTGGCTTTGGATGACGAGGAACACAATACTAGGGCAAACAGATACCAAGCCTACAGACAATGCACGCTATGGGTACATGGTCCTTTGGGAGCTTACAAAAGACGAGTGATTCCATCTTGCTCTGTGTGGGCAATAAGAGACAAGTTCCCAGATCCATATGGACAATATCAGGGGTTTATTCCCAACAGAACTGGCTAGTTATATTTTAAGAAATCTTTCTCTGTCAAATAGTAGTAATTATTTAGCGCAAGTTGGAATTTTTCCTCATCATTGGTTTACTACTGAGGTGTTAGAATTTTTTTTTTTTAAGTTTTCAAATGTGATTTGGAATGGACTTAGTCAGGCCACTGAATAAAATGCCCAGAGGAAACAGGTACATTATTGTTCTAACAGACTTCCTGAAAAAGTGACCAGAAGCAGAAGCAATTTCAAGCAAGAAAGCCTCAGTTATAGCTATATCTATAATGAATGTTGTTTGCTGTTAAGTAAGTGTCAAGGTGCTAATTCCCGACCAAGGGCATGAACTCCGTAACCAAGTTAATGAGAGATTATGTCAGCAACTTAGCAGCAATCATCATCGTACAAAAGCCTGCCACCCCCAGGTGAATGGACAATGTGAAAGCTACAACAGCAAAAAGCCAAACATGGAAGCATGTCAGGAAGTATTTCTCTTGCAAGCATCTCTTTGGAAAACCACAAGCAGAGGATTAGTGGCACACTAAAACAAGGAAAAAGAGGAAGAACCTTTACAAACAGTACCTGCTGTCTACCCGCTTTGTACTCAGCACTAAGGGTTTGAAGCAGGGGTATGGTCTGGCAGTGGAGAAATGGTATGTTTGCTAGCTCTGAGTGCCTAATATGGCTATCCTATAGTGTGGATAACCTATAGTGTGTAAGAGGGCCAAAATGACCAGGCTTCCTTTGACTTCAATAAAATTTGATTTAAAATAAAAAAATATATGTATAACTTCAACCTTTGGGGTTGTTTATTTATAGTAATTATATGCCAATTCAGTTAAGAATGCAGATATTCCCCGTTTCCTTTATTTTGCAAACAAGTATCCTCAACTGACAGAGGTTTCAAGAATTATCTTGGGCTATTAGATGAAAACACAAATAAATTTGAAACTGTCCTTATTGTTTTGGACCATTTGTATATTTCTTTCAAAGTGGGAAAAGATCTGGACTATCTAGTGGTAGCTGGTGACGGCAAAGTATATTCCCATCTCATGAAATATGTACAGGGCCCGGTTTCATCAAGGCTGGATAGCCTATCCTATGGATAACACTATCCAG